TCTGACTGTTATGGCCATCTTCAGACGCCCTGTTTTGGGTCCCCCCGCCCCAGGAGAAAGCCTTCTCTGCCATGGCACCAAAGCTCTGGAACTCTCTCCCCAGGGATATTTGTCTGTCTCCTTCTCCTGACGTCTTCCACCAGTGGAAGAAGTTTTTGTTCCAGCTGGCATTCCCTCAATGATCCCTCCTTTCTAACTAATGTTTTGTTTGTATTTTAACTATTTTATACAGATTTTAACTTTTTAACTCTTTTAAAAGTTGTTTCAATGAGGTATGTTCGAGAAGGGAGTTTAATGGTTTTACAATGTAATTTTATTATCCATGTTTTAAATTGTTAGCTGCCTTGTAAGGGTAGAAAGGCAGGATATAAATTTTGTTAATAAATAAATTAAATAAATGACATTTTCCAGACAAACATCTTTGTAATGGACAATTGTCTCATTTTAGTGTTGCCTTACAAAGTGGTGCTAATTGATGGAACTTATAATGAGATGATCTTGTGCTACTTTTCAGGTCGGAAGGGGACAGATGCAGTCCTTTGCTTCCCAGTTGTCTTACCCCATTGAGTTCCAACCCTTCCTCCAAGGACCTCAGGGCACTTCACATGGTCACATACTTTATCTGTGAGAAGGGCTGGGCTGTAAAAGACAGTGACTACTCCGTGGTCATCCAGTGAGTTTATGGGCAAGTGGAGATTGGAACCCAGGCTTCTCTGGCCCTTGTCTGACACTCTATAAGCTACACCGGCTCAGTATTTACCTGTACCTGAATAAGACCAGACAGCATATTCTATTGAATTTAATAGCTTTATTTTTAAGGTTCTCAAAGATTAAGTCAGCACTGGCTTAGTTGTGTATTCCAAACACACACATCAAATTATTTATTTATATATCACTGTCCACATATGAATACTGAGTTTTCATAATAGCTCCAATTACACAGTTAAAGCCAATACACAGATTTAATACAGCACGTCACTTCCGAACTAGTAAGAGATTTTTTCGTCTATAACAGAGGAAAGATGAGGTTTTGCTAGAGTTCTTTCCAATGCCTTCACATGGCAAAGTCTAGCTAACATTTGCTTGAAAATACCAATGGGTTCAATTGAAGTGAATATTATATGTTCTTTACTGCCCAATCTTATTCATTTTTACATGCAAAAGAATGCAGCTGTAGACAAGACTGCTTAAAGGGCACCTTTTAGAACAGATTCAGTTCAGTGTATCCTCTTCAAGCAAGCTTGAATAAAACATTCTAAACAAATGTTTTCAGATTTTTGTAGGAACAATTCCAACAGCCAAATTCTGTATGCAAAACACTACACACTAAGGGAACTGGCTCTTATAATTTCAATTAGACTGGAAAGGTCTGAAAGATACAAGGCTCAACCTTTACCATGGAAGCACTCTTACTGAAGTGAGACTCTTCTAAACTGTTTGTAGTTGGCTCCCCAAGAAATTGCAGTTTACAAATGAAGCATTTATAGCATTCATTTGCAAAATATACAAGCCCCTACAGTTTGTGTGTGTGGGGGGGGGGAAGAGTCAGCATCTGAAATGTCAGGCAGTAGCAATGTTCAAAGCTGTAGGCCTTCCAAGAGTAATCTTGAATACATATATTTTTCTTCCTAAAGCAATCCAATGCCTTTTGAAAGTAGTTACAGAAACCTGAAGTATAATAAATAAATTGTAATAAATGTAAAATTCACCCTCCACATAAAGCCCTGAAGTCCTTGAAGTGAGCATGTTACAGAGAACCAAGCTGCACCTCTAAACCAGAAAGGCACATATCCCACTTTCCTCCTCAATGGAGACCCAAAGTAGCTTACATGGTTCTCTTCACCACTTGTTTTATCCTCACAACAACCCTGTGAGGTACACTGGGCCGAAAGTGTGTTACTGGCCCAAGGTCACCCAGAAAGCTGACATGACAGAACTTGGGTCTCCCAGAACCTTGTCTGACACTCTAACCCAGGGGTGTTGAACTCATTTGTTATGAGGGCCGGATCTGACATAAATGAATCCTCGTTGGGCCAGGCCATGTGTGTCATAAAATGTAATGCCAGGTAGCAGAGATAAAACTTTATAAAGGACACAAACACAAAGGGCTCTTTTTACTTAAAATAAAAACATGCTTAAAACTTTAGCACTCTCCCAATATTTTAACAGTGTCTGATAACTGACACCTCTTGTTCTGAATTATTGCATCAAAATGTCTCTGCTGTTGCAATCTTGAGTATGCTGTTCAGGTGTGTACCTGTAAGCAGCAAACCTATGATGACGTAGCAGCAGCAGAACTGGAAGAAGCAGAAGACAGCCAGTTCCACTGCGGACCTGATAGAAGCCCTCCGGGGGCATGATCCAGCCCCCGGGCCACATGTTTGACACCCCTGCTCTAACCTGTAGTCAAGCAAAACTAAATTGGCACAGAGAAGGTGAGTTTATGTTCTGACCCCTTATTGAAGGTACATACACATTGATAGGGATCCAGAATCAAATGCCAACAAGAGGAAATACTTTAGAATAGAAGGCTTCTGTTTGAGGCAGCTAAAGGACTTCCATGGAATTATAGTTATCCTTTTACAGGCCTTGCCACAGGTCTGCATTTTTTAAGTGGAGCTTTAGGGATCTTGTACCTTGGACAAAGGAAGAAGAGGGAATCTGTTAACTGAGAGACTGTTGTGATTATTATGCTTATAAAGATCATGTAAAATTATTTTACAAGCCAAAGAGAATGGGATATTTGATAAGGCTCAGTGGGAACAAGAAAAACAATGGTCTATTTATGATTATTGACCCAACAACGCATGCCTTATGGAACAGAGGCATATTTATTCCAAAGGGCTCCATGCCCAGGGATTGTCTAATAAATGTGACTATTTATAGTTGTTGGGTTTTTTTACTTTAGTGGAATTGGAAAATATTGGGGAGGGCCTCTGAAAACAAAACAGTGTGTGTGTTTGTGAATTATTCAAAGCCATAGGGTTTATTCGCACTGTCACACAACAGGTAATCCATTCCACAGGACTCAATGAAGAACACAGAAAAAGATCAGTAGCAAAGTCTTTTGCAGCTCAATACCAACTATATCGACTCACAAAAACGTCCTATTAGTCTCAGTGGTACTTAGTCCCATGTAAATGGGCACAGAATTGTACCCTGGTCCTTTCCTCAGAATTAGACCCCACTCATTTCAACAAGCATGCTCAGGATCACAGCTGCTTAGGTCAATTATAGGAGCATTTATGGAAAAGACCCACTGAATTCAAGAATGCTGGCTCCCAAATAGCACTACAACCACATACACAACTGGTGCCATGAGCTGATACAGCATAGTGGCAAAGGGAAGGAGCTCTACTCCATGGAAGTTCAAGAATTGCCTTTATCATAAACCCACTAGAAGCCAAAGCCCCTCCCTCTGCGTTTGTCACCTACTGAATATGAGCATTGCTCTATCAAGGTCAGTACTGTCTCCTCTGACTGGAAGCTGCTCTGCAGGAGCATGTCACCTACCACTTAATGCTTTCATCTGTGTATCCCAGGGATTAAATTTGGAGTCTTCTGCATGCAAAGCAGATGCACTACCCCACAATCCCACCCCAAATAATGTCATCAATGATTCAACTGAACACACAGAAAGCTGCCTTCTGCTGAGTCAGATGCAGATGTTTGTCTACTCTGGCAAACAGCAGCTCTTGAGGGTCTTAGGCAGAAGTTCTCACATCGCTCCTGACCCTTGTAAGTGTAAATGCCAGAACTGAATCTGCGATCTTGAGAGCTACAGTAATTCAATTGAATGTACCCACAAACTCACGAAGCTGATTGTTCTACTGAGGTTGGTACTGTCTACACTGACTGACACTGGCTCTCTAGGGTCTTTCACATCACCGACTCCATGATTCTTTTAGCCAGAGAGATGCCAGAGGCTCTACAAAGCATAGGGTTTACCACTGTGCGACAACCTCAACCTCCTTAGCAGCCTATTTTACAGGACCCGTGAAAGACTCATTTAAGTCAACACGCCAGAAGCACTGCACAAACACACACCACAATCGTCCCAAACGCCTAAAATGGCCCTTTCTCCCCTTACAGCCGCAGCCTGACAAACAAGCGAGCCCTGACTCCCCAAGACGGAAACAACATTTTGCTGGCCTCTCTAAGGCTGCAATCACACACACTAAAGAATCCACTTTCAATACACTTTCCAACTGTGTGAACTGGCAAAAGTCAGTTGGAAAGTGCATTGAAAGTGGATACATTAGTGTGTGTGATCGCAGCTTAAGTCGCCCAGAAGGCTATTTAGACTTAGCGCGATCATAACTCCGGAGGGGCCACGACGTAAAGCCCGGGCCCCTGTCGAAGCCACCTCCGAGTCCCCAACAGTTGGCGCCAGCATAAAGTCCTTGGTGGTCTTTTTAAAAGGTGCCGCTAGATTCACCGTTTTGCTTCGCTGCTAGCCCGCACCTGGGGCAGTACCCTCAAGACCCCGGAGGGAGAAGCGGCGGCGGAGAGGGCCAAGGGAGCCCGCCCCAGAGGAGGTCAGGGCCCAGCCTGACCCGTCCCGCCCGCCCGCCCG